GCAATCCTCTGAGGATTGCCGTTTCACCTATCCTCTAGAGGATTTTGACCCTAGCCATTTGTCTACCTGTGTACCGCCGTGCGCCAAGGGCNATCAGAGCTTCCGCTTTTTTGGGCAATCCTCTGAGGATTGCCGTTTCACCTATCCTCTAGAGGATTTTGACCCTAGCCATTTGTCTACCTGTGTACCGCCGTGCGCCAAGGGCCAGATGATCTGGATAGATTCGGGTGATTGTCAATTGCAACGATGGCTTTGGTTGGGTGCTCTTCTTCATTGTATGTCCACGGACTCATTCTGACAGCACTTCAGACAGCAGTACGCTGTAGTCGACATTCATTTTGGTTGAATACGGGACAAGGGGGGTGATGCTGCTGCTGTAGTCGATTTGTTGCGTTGTTTCTCACATTAGCTCTATAGTCCACAAAAGAGAAGTAACCAGAAACGGGTATACGCGGATAGATTATCACCATTTCAGGGTACACTTGGAAATCAAGACGACACCGATCTCCGACAGCATCCGCCTTAGATCGCGGCGAAACCAATAAACCGCTGTCTGTGTCCTGTGTGTCCTGTCCCCGGAAGCATGATGATGCACGAGGCAGGTCGTGCCCGTTTTTTTCTCTCTGTGCCTCTCTCTCTCTGTGTGCTTTTGCTGATCAGTACCACACCGAAGTACTCGCGCGTCAAGCGAGTCCGACCCTCTGTTGAGAAGGGCCGGTATCCCATGGAGGCGGTGCCCATGAACGATGAACGAGCGAGCGTTATTGGTGGTTTGGTTGTGGTTCTGTATGTGCGGTACACGTTATGTGCGGTACTACACGTTTTTTTCTGCGGGTTTTGTGCCTGACTGAGCGTCGGGCGCCGGGATTATATGACCATGTCTGGGTACAAAATCGACCCTTTCCGGGTACACCAGTTGCCAATATCGGTCACACCAGCGGATGCTATCTCCAGCGGAAGTTGTACCCGATGGAGGTTTCTCCAGAAATGGGTACAATAGTTTTTCGGCCAATCAGCTGACAGCCTGGGGGTGCAACCGTCTTGATTTCCAAGTGTACCCGAAAGTGGTGACGAAGTACCCGGGTACACCAGTTTCTGGTTACTGGTCTCCACAAAACATGGGGAGCCCGTGATCTCAAAACCCGGCACATACGACGCCGCGGGGAAACAAAACAAAAACAGGGTACAAACCACTCGGAAAAAGACAACAAAATGATAGAAAGAAAAGAACAGGTATCGCACCGACCGTTCGAGAAAAGAGCCCTCGGGAACCGATCAAAGTAAAACAAAAACAAAAATAAAGGAGGACGCTTCCCACACCCGCCCAATGAAAAAATCAAAGTGTAACGTACCAGCACCAGGCACTACGCACCAGGGCATGGGAGTGACGGAGCAAACAAGACAAAGAGGCGGCAGATGGGCAGACAGCCAGACGTACAAAAACAAAGGCAACCGCAAAAGCGAGATCAAGGTACCCAACACAGCAGAGTAGGCAGGGAGGTCATGAAAAAACGAAGCACAGCACAGAGGACGAAGGCAATACAAAGGACATACATAGAGGAGAATAGCATACAGCAGGGAGGGAAACAGGGCGCAACAGCATCAGCCGGGTACATAGATCGCCACAAGTGCTGCCTCGGCCGCCCTACTCGCTTCTACAGCAGTGCCCGGTCGCCGTTTCTTCCCCCCCACCGCTCTCTTTCTCTTCGGTCCTGAGATGGCCGTACTCTCTGCTTGTGCTTTCCTTGCGCGCTGGCGCTTCGCAGACGCTTCCACCTCCTGCCTGTGCCATTTCCTCATGAACCATGCCGCCCCGTCCTCGACCTTGTTGTACCACACCTCCGTGTCCTTGGCGCTCTCTTTCCATTTACCCCCTTCCCTTTCGTCTCCTATGTTGAAGGCCATGAGGGCCTCTCCTAGACCAGACACCCAGTCGCTCTCCTGCCCGCCCCGGTAGTGTGTGGGCGTGTAGTTCAGTTGTGACCATGCAAACGTGCTGCAGGGATTGCATGTGTACATCCTCGGGCCTGCGTACCCTTTTCTTGCTAATCGTGCGTGTGTTCTTTCGATGTTCTGATGCCTCAATGGTAGTATTTTTGTGACCACCGACCGAGTCTTTCCAAGATTTTGGGATAAGCAACTGACACGAGTTTAATGTGAAGAAAAGCAACAACAACAACAAGGGCCGCACACCACGGCGCTGGGCCTTACTACAGTACTAACCTACCCCTAAACCCTAACCCACACCGATTCCCCAAGCTAGGTTATTGGGCAGAGGGTAGGTCTAGGGTGCTGTACCGAGCAACTGGAGCGCGGAAATCAATTTAAGCATGCCGTCCTTGTTTTTTTCACCCACCCGGCCGCCATCTGCCCGATCGGCGCCCTCTCTCCGCCGTTTGTGGCACCCAGACGTCTTTGGTGCGCAACGAGCATGCTACTGCTGTAGTCGGACAGAAGAATTACGCGCCTACATACATCGGCTACACAAGCACCCTTTTTGCCTGTTTCTGCTGAACTCCGAGCAACATCCCGTGACATCCCCCAGACCCTCTTGTTTGTAGACTTGCCTGTAGTCCCATTCACCCATGCCGCCCACTGCAGCAGTGCAGCATTTTTAGAAGAGAAGTGGCCAAAATCGGGTACACCCGGTCCAAACACGGCCATAATCGGGTACTCCCACAAGATGCTGCTGGACGCGACCACATGACACCGTCTGATTGGCCGACACCCGCCCCTACCCGACCTTGACCATCTTTCCACCGGTTGCCCCCGATCTTGGCTACTCAGCCCCCGGAGGAGTACCCGATCTTTCTTTCCCCTGCCCGAAAACGGCTGGGCTGTTCGGCGAAAATCCATATGCACACAATCACGGGTAGGCATTCATCCACAGTTCTTCTCCATCATTTGTACCGACCGCCTGCCTGATGCTGTTTCCCCCAAGCGAGAGTTCCACCACCGGCGGTAGGTCCGCCCCCGCCCGCCGCCAGAACGTCCGAATTCGAGGGCAAGGCAATGCTCACGTGTACTTGTGTGCATGTTGTTGTGTTGTTGTTGTGATCACATGAAAAACCGTTCCGATCTCTCTCTACCTAATACCTTTGTATGTCCGTACTGATCCAACACTCGACGCGGTTGATTCCCGAGGTCGCAGGCTAACTTACCCTAAAAGGTACACTCAAATAAAATGGCCCCGAGGGGTCCGCAAGTCAATACAAATCAACGACAGATATTCTGGAGTCCTCCACTCCCCCTGCGCGCTATGCGAGGTAACAACTGAGGCTAGGAGTCACCATCACGGGCCGGAAAGAATGAGGTACACCCCCTTGGTTCAATCTTGGTACTTCACAACGCAAGCAGAGACAAGGCCATCTGGCACAGAAAAAGAGAGAAAAAGAGAAAAAGAGAAAAAGAGAAGAAAATAAAAGGAATTAGTAAGAAAAGAGATGCATGGGTTTGGCCGAACAGACCAGCCATTATTTTCGGGTAGGGGGAAGGAAAACCGGGTATCCCTCCAGGGGGGGAGTAGCCAAGATCGGGTGCACCCGGTGGAAAGATTGTCAAGGTCGGGTAGGGGTGGGCGTCAACCAATCAGATGGTGTCATACGGTCGTTTCCAGCAGCGTCTTGTAGGAGTATCCGAGTATGGCCATGTTTGGACCGGGTGTACCCGATTTTGGCCACTGCCTTTTTAGGAAGTAAATATAGTCTGACCTCATAAAAAGCATGCCGGTTCGTAGTAAGCGTATCTCCGACCCGAAAAAAATTGTCCTCTGTCTCAATAGAGCATTTGCCAACTACAGCAGGACGTGGTGTATGTATGTAGTCTACAGTTACGATGCCATTTTATTGAGGTTTTGCGCGTGTGCGGCATCAACTACATAGGCACCTACAACGAACGGTACGTAGCACCGCCGTGTGCTTTCCACCCATTGCTATCAGTGGATTTCCAGATGAGTTCGTTGGCAATCCCTTTATTTTCTTTTTCCGTATCAAGAAAATGGTACCACTGTTGTACTTTTTTGCATTCCATCATCATCATCATCATCATCATCAGCAGCGGCAGCAGCAGCAGCAGCAGCAGCAGCAGCAGCAGCAGCAGCAGCAGCAGCCGCAGCAGCTGCCGCAGGTGGCACGCCCCCCGACGAAGCGGCGACGGCCGCCGCTGTGGTCTACCGCCGCCCTCATCTTAGTCGCGGGGGGCACCACCTGCCTCGGTCTGTGCTTGGGCTTCGTCCTGCGAGGCGTGCGGGACGAGCGCGCGACGGCGCTGTCGTTGTCGCGCGATGCGCCTGCCGCCGACCCCACGGCTGCCGCCGACCCCGCCGCTGCCGCCGCCGTAGCGACCGGAGGGGGCGTGGTGAAGCGCTACGCGAGCTTTGAGGAGTACGCGAAGGAGATGTTCGCCAGCGGCGGTGGCGGCAGCGGGCGGAACAGGATGCTTGCTGTTCCCGTTGTCGACAGTCCCGCCACGGTCCAGTCTATCGGAAGGTCCATGGCGCTCCCGCTCGCCATCATCATAGGCGTCCAGGTAAGTTGTTCTCTTCCTTTTTTGCCGTGTGTGGCTGCTAGAGCTCCGTGACCGTGCTGCTGCGTTGTTGCTTGCGGCTGCTAGGGTTGGAGTGCAATGGGTTGAGCACTGGTGTCCGAACGGAGCATCCAGTAGCTGTTGAGGTTAAGGTGGCGGCGCTGGAGAACCGACCCGCTCCGTGGTCAAAGCTGCCCGTGCCGAGGAAAACGAGCGTGAACCATTGGTTTCAGTCGCATGCCTCCACGCCACCAGAGGATCCACGTTGGCAGGGTTTCGGCCTTGCCCGTGGACCATGCGGAGTCTCGGACTCACACAGTCCAACGCTCCCCCCCCCACGAATAAATACACCGTGTGGCGCGCCGGCAGCAGCACGTGAGAGCCACACTCACACGCGAAACTTCCATCGTCTCGCGTCTGCTTGAAAACGATAATAATGATAATCGACGGTTTCAGAAAGGGGGCACGCAGAGCTTGCGGCACCACCTCATGACTCACCCGCTTTTGACCGGGATCAACGGCAAGGAGGCACACTTCTTCGACAGGGACCCTCAGCGGTAAGTGGGGGGGCGGGGGGGGTACACAATGGTGGTGGCGGGACCCCTCCTCTTTCCGTTGTGCATGCCACCATGCCGCCACATCAGTGCAAAATCAGTTCAACGTGCTCCGTGGTGTCACGCGGCGCGGCCACGGGAGACGGGATTTTTGTGCAGGTTCGTGGCAAATAACCTAGGCTGGATTCGTGTGGTACGGCAGCCTGGCCGTTCAACAAATTTCGGCGCAGAAGGTTTTTCCTGCTTGAGGGCGTCGCGTGTTCTTTCGAATATTTCGCGCCGAGGGGGCCTGGATTCTTTCCCGCTAGTTATACGGGTTGGCTCTCCCGAAGTACCTATTGACGCTTCGCGATCCAAGCATGGTCAAAGGTGGGGCACTCGCGCGCTCACGAGGGGGGCGCGTACTCTCATGTTTTACATGCCTTAGCGGTTAGACCATTGACCACGCGTCCTCGAGAGGACGGAGCATTGTTCCCACAGGACCGATCACCGATGGCCAATCGTTCCATTCTACTTTGCCAAAGGTGGCTCAAAAATGTCTTCCCTAGTCTGTCTATCCTAACGATACCTCTTCCCGCCTTTTCATCCCACCTCCTATGCCCCAGTTCAGCTACCGTCCTTTCCTCTCTATTGCATGCTTCAAACATCTCCC